AAGCCAAAATCTGGCTCATTTACATTTGTATCTTAATAACTGCAAGATCCAGGTTTTAGCAAGATGCACTGTACTGTTGTAAAATATTTCTCTTTTAGCATACGCGATATACTGAGTCTTAATTTGGGCAATTATGCTTTCGAAGAAAACGACTACAACTTCGATCATTGGGACCGGCTTTGAAGTGCAGAAATTTCGGGCTGAAGCTTTACACATCCGTACCTCACGACCAGCTTCGTGATGAGAGTTCTTGACGCCGTGACGAATGTCCCATAAACCATACCTGCTGTGGCAAATTATTACGCGGTGAACCACGCGTGGTAAACAAAGTCCGATTTGTCAGCCCCATAGAAACTGATTTTACATTTAATCAATAATTGCTCCCACTAAAAAGCAAACGAGTGGGAAAACTAAACTCAGTGCTGACTTTAAGGAGCACCGCACCCTTTATATTTAATGTGTTTTAGGGGAGAAAACCAATGGATGTACAATACAAACTTGCTAGAATTACTTCGCAAAGTTACGGTCATCTATAAGGGAAACGTAAGCGCTAGCATCATACATGAGTAGTGTGAAATTTCACAACGTTGCAGATTTCACGGTATGGTTCCATTTCAACGCAACGCTCGTGATATGCGAAGGAACGTTTTCTACTAATCACGGACTTAACCGCAATCACATTGTATTCATACATGACCGGTTGGCGAGAGGTCGCCTAAAGTTAACCTACCTCATTTGGCGCTGGCTATGAATACTGTGAGAGTCAAGGAGTGGGTGTTGACGAACTTGAAACTGAATTCCGAGTAAATGTGTGGCTGTGGACTTTCAGTTCCTGCCGTTGTTCATTAATCCCACAGTGTTGTTATGATTGCACTTTACTCCTACGCTGGGCTGTAGATGTCGGAGACAATGATATTAGCTTGTCAGTGTGTTATTCTTTTAGCTGTTAGCGGGAGGTGTTCTCCGTGTTTCGGATCACATCTAAGAGGACTGCAGACTTTTAGACTTATCTTGAGTGTGTAACGCAAATAGCCAATAAATATACCTTTTCTATTGATTTTCGGAGATATATATGTATATAAAACTTACATATACCACAGTTTCTTAATAACCATTATTGTAGTGTAAAATTTTGCCTAACATTCCAGCATAATACACTCTCCTGTAGTTTGATCTTCAACAGCGAAATGTAACATATCCCGTTGAATGATCGCAGCAACATTCTGTAAGTCTCTAAGGCCGATTATTTGGTGGAAAATGAACTTATAATAAAACTTTGAAATGTAGAAATGTTCTTAGCAATTATTATTAGTGAGTTGATTTACATTCGTTGCGGAAAACTGTGTTGTACCAAATATAATTTAAGTAAGCACTGCTCGCATTAATTATTAAAAGATGTCAACGAAAATATGTGCTGTTACGTAGGAAAGATAGGTTGTGGCAAGCGCTCCAAATTGTCTTCTATAACTAAATGTAATATTTTGTGCTTTAATCTGTTACAACGCAGCTCCAATATCTCGTTGCATTAAGCATACTACAGTTATTCCACTGTGATTCAGACCATCTGGTGAACTACGAGTAATAAGGTTGGCAGTCATACGTTTTCGCTTTGATGTATATTCACCGTTTACACATTAGAACAGTTTTCCAATGGTTGCACTTGTCTTCTGCTGGAACATCTCGGGTGGAAAAATTATTGAATTTCATATTCACACTGGAATTACAGATACGTTCGCGATTTTAATCGATCAGATTTGGAAAAACAAAGGGAAAATAATCGTTTTCTCCTTTATTTTGCTACCCGCTCAAAATCGCGTTTAAATATTCCTAACTGTTACATGGTATCTTAAACACAATCAGAATAGAAAATAAATCGATTTAAAAGTCTTGTGCATATGGATAATCGTCTAGTTAACTGCTGATTCAATTATCCCAGGAGAGCAGTGCCTAAGAGTCATACAAGCGCTTTAGTGTGATATAGAGGTTCAAGAACAAAAGCGTTATCAATTAGCTATATGTCGAAATAAATACACTAAATATTCCCAATAATTTCGACAATATTAACAATAATTTGGACAAAAAGCGCAGGCGTACGATTGGTTTCATTGTTGTTTAAAAACAACAACACATCTTAGTTTGTTATAAACAATTCGTCATTCATTGCAAGTAAAGGAAGAAAAACGTGCTGCCTATCGTAACGATCCTAAAAATAGCTGATTGAAATGATAAAACGCCAAATAATTGGTGGCTTAATAAATGTTTACGACGCTTCATAATGCCTCTTCCGCTCATGACCAATCTGCATCACCAAGGTTCTAAACCAATACTATATTCGTCCTTCTGCAAAATTACCGATTAAGCTGCACTTGACTGACATACACATGCCGCCGGCCAACACTCAAACATCAACTTTCATATCAGATACGAAGAAACCAATGACCTATTCTCAGTCATACTTAACCTATCATGCACAAATCTTATCCTTATTCCGCATACTACATTTTTTATCCACATGAAAGTTGGTTGTTTTTCAACCTGAGGACAAAGACCCGTTTTTGTACAACCCATAAAACAGGACCCCGCAGATATTAGGAATTGGCGAGCAGTTAGCCACACTTCCAAGTTTTGCAGGTTAATATATACAGTAATGGTCCGAATTTCAGCATCTGTGCAGTATTGTAACCTCAACAGTAAATAAGGGAAAGGCATTTTGAAAGCGTACTCGAAGTACGAAATCCTACGTTGCGTCTTTCACTCAGCTTTTGCTTCCCATTGGTTTCGAGAAATCAACAGATTCTTTAACTTGACGTGCCGAAAGCAATTGATCGTATACCCCACTACAGTTTGCTTCCTTTGAAGCGAGTGTTACACTCTTATGGTGGTTCACGTTTTGCTTTATGGAACACGGCTAATTGGTTAAACAACCTAATTGGAATCCAAGTCATACAGTAGTTTTCTGTGGTGTAGTTCGGAGCAGCGATACATTGCCCTAGTTTTCTTGTGGTATTTTAACCAGGTATTTTACTTAATACGGTAATGTTTTACATAATTACCGTATGACGACGCCAATATCGCCAACACTTTTGTTGCCAACAGTACGCGCCACAGCACCTAATCCATTATAACCTTCTTAAACAAGTAGTGCTATGGCGCTCTAATTGGAAAATCATTTTCAGCGAGAAATTACATCGTCATTCCCTTCTTTTGCAAAGTACTTGTGTATGGGAAACAAAGCGCCCGCAACATTGCGATAGATGAGTTAATCCTTCGTTGTTTGGCTTGTTAACTTCCTTACAGTGCATGCTAACTCCTAAAGACCAGGAAGCTAAACATCTTAGAACTATCGCAATATTAATTTAAACCTTCACAATGCGAAATTGCATATTTGCCTTGTACAAGAATAGTACCCGACTGTTTTCACCATATGGTGCGTTGACTCATGGTCATGCAAATGTAAGCCAATATTGACAAGTAAATAAATTACAGAGGTAGTTCGCTAAACCATTCTGGGAACAACTCCACAGTTCACTTACACATAGTGCTGCAAGGCGCATTACTGAGTTAAAAATATCACCCTTATTGACCGTTTGAATATAAGAATTCGCAAACCGAGCCAGAATATAAAACTGAAAGATCAGTAAGGCCGTTTATTTTGAAATATTTATATTATTCCACAAAATTATCCAAAAAGCAGTTAGCAACGTGTGGGATTTTAGACTAGTTGGTATCATATGGAAAGCCACCGCCTCCTTCCATATCTTCGACGGTACAAGACAGGGTTGTCTTTCGTCACAGCTATATATTTACTTCGTTGTAGAAGGTTTCATAGAAATGCATTTGCTTTACGCCACTCGGTAGATGTGGGGCCTCAACAATTGTGTTATTTTTTGACTTTCAGTATGCTGACATTATGTTTCTACCGTTGATATCTCTTCAGAGTACTCAGCAGCTGTGGAGAAACTAACACAATACCTCAGACACTTTAGTCTCTGATATGTAGCTGTTAAATTCAAGACCAAGTTCAACTATGCATTGAATACTTATGCACTGACTATCGACAAAGATTATTGAACGTAGCTCAAAGTCAAATAAATACCCAGCTCTAAGCGTTTTGATTAGAATATGAAATCATAAACTGGTAATCATAACTCTATAGGTTATAGTTCGTCTTTGCCACTTATAAGTTTTGTGCGTTATCGCTTTTATCCTAGAAGGTAGAGTGTAAAATACAGTCATCCGTTTAAAGTTCCTGCGCTTTTGCGTCAAATGACATTTTGTAACCTCGGAAGTGACGATGCTAATTGCGCTGTACCATTACTAATTTCGAATCATTGTAGATAGCTGGAAAGGACGTTGAGTAGGAAGTGGGTTTCTATGTATTCTTTTTACTTAAGAAACAGAATACGTGCCGCTAAGCTTTATTGTTTCCTCTACCGGACCCCTATGTCTGGGTCAGGCGTTGTGAATGTCAAAAAATTGACCACATCTTATTGCTTGGTTTGATCTATTATTTTGTGGATCGAAAAAGATAAGATTGACCAACCTATAACTTGTTGAATGGGAATGAATGCGCTGGCCCTAAGCCCTAGCCGTTTAGATAATCCCGAATTTCAGATCCTAATCCGAAACTTGGTAAACTTGTGTTTGGTTTTACACGTTGGCTCTCGTAGCGCCAAACTTGGCAACATTTATGTTATACGATAATTTTCTCCATCAACATCCAGCTTCTTCTAACCCGGAAATAAGCCAGTCAAACTTATTTTTCCTATCACGTAATTTGGATTTCATTGTATGACACAGAACAGAAAGTGTTGGTGCTTTGATTGTTAGATTTATAATTGCAAAAGAATTAGACACCATATTGAGTACGGTGAACGCGATACGCATTGTGCAGTGAAAATACTCAGTAGCTGTGGTCAGAACTATGGAGCATTTAGTTGTTAATTATATTTGAATGTCATTCGTAAACAGTGCGATTACTTGATGTGAAGCTTTCATCTTCATGTGGATCGCAATCTACGTTTGACCCGCATTTCTTCTTTGCTTCCTGGGGCAGATTTCTTCACACTTGCTTCTGGTCCACTTTGATTCACTGTGCAGGAGAGCAGAAAATAATGTTTACGCTTTTCTGTAATTAACAACTGCCAACTTTTCACAAACAATTTTGTCTCTGATGTTTGAGTTGCTAATAGGATACACATTATAGCAAATATCCACATAGAATTTTAGTGGCCATCCAGAGTACTTATTAACTAAATACTCATTAGAATAATATATCATTTTTACTGTTATATGGTCCCATAAATTTTTATTACATCTGCCTCGTTCTTCTACTAAATCCTAGTGCTGCAAGAACTTCCAGCTTAAGCGCATCCGTAAACTTATAAAGATGGGATAAATTACTTTGCAGTTGTTAATGGTTACGCGCATATTACAATATTATGTAGAAAGCTGTCGATTATGTATAAAGGATAAAATGAATATATGGTGATTTACCGTTGGGTACCGTTATTTGCTTCACCGTTTCAGGCACTTCTGCTGTATCTTCTTGATATATCCCAAATACTTCACTGTTGATTATTATGAATGCTGAAGCAAATCGTACAGAGGTTGATTTGAAAATTATCATTGCAAAAATTATGTAAGATAGAAAGCATTTACTACTGGCTTACAATCCTCTGGCTCAGCGAAGGCTCCAGATGCGATAGCGGCAGTAAGAAGCAACACTACGTATTTCATCGTTGTGAAAGTTGATGCTATCAGTTCAGCGACCGTGTATTTATATGAACAATCGGTGTGAAATTCGGACAAAACGCCACTTAAACTCCGCATGATTGTTCACAATGGTGCGTATCGCATCCAAGAGAGGATGCCTTGTACATGCGGTGTCTTAAGTGGAATCATGTACGGGTTAGCGAGAAGACAATGAACACCGTTGTCAATCTCAAGCACGTCTGGCTAAACATTCTCTTAGACTAATTCGACTGTCTGGTTGCAATATTTTGTAGCTGGCCAATGCTGTTGATTGCAGCTGACGAGGCTCAATATGGCACTACTCTGCTGCGTACTCACTTTCGTGATAGTTCATAATTATTTTCAATTTATCTAATACATACTAGTTCAAATATATTTAAGTTTTCAGATTTCCCAAGCTAGCGTCTAGCTTTTGTTTGGCGGGTGTTTGAAATTTTGATGTTGTTTCTGCTCTGCAGAGAATTGTCAAGAACACTTCATAATTGTTAATATTCCATCTATACACCTGCGCACTATATGGCGTCAAATATTTTACCTTTGATCTATCCTGTAGTAATTATTTTTTGGTCAGTTACCATTATACGTTATATGAATAGGAAAATAATATTACTATTACATAAATTTAGCCACCCGACTAAACTTAAACTTATCCCTCTGTCTAATACACACTATAACTAGTTGCCGCACGATAGCCGGCTTTTAGCCCTCCGGAACAATGTCCATCGGTTACTGTGGGCTCAGCCGGCTTGCCCCGTTTGCTTTGTTTTTCCTTCTTTTCTTTTGTATTGCGGCACAATGGCTGAGGATTTTTCTACCTGCAGCTAACGTTTATAATGAATGAATGATTGAATCACTCTCTAAACGGTTTTGGATACAGGGATTTAAAGAAGGATAAAGGAAAATAGGCATGGTCTTTACTGCAATGCGTACACATAATTTCACCTCGCCTGCATTCTTGGTTTTCAGGAGTTGAGTATATGAATTTTCATTTTTCGCAATGAATAAAAGTTAAAGTTTTACGGCAGAGCAAAGAGGAAATTGAGAAAGGTTTTTTTCCCACAGTAATAGTATACAGCATCTCTTCACGGAATTAATCAAATTAACTTTTCAGGAATTGCAGATTGTTTCTGGGTTAGAAGGAGGCAGACATAGTTGCAATCGACTGGCGTGCATTTAATCGGCGCCCATTAATTATTAATTTGTCAGCCTGACCTGAGTCTACCTCTAAGGTTTAACAATGCTTATAAGACTTCAGATTTGGGAGCATTCAAGGAGCCTAGTCTAATTAGAGCGGAAGAGCCTGCTTTCATTAAGCTTATATTTAGATGCGGTTAGTAGGTCGCGTGTTGACGAGATTTTGTTAGTGGTGTGCAACCTCGAAACCAGTAAGATCTTCGACTCAATGAATCACCGATTCGTATTTGCGAACCTGAAAAGCTTAAGCAGAATCTCTAATTGACATCTATTTTTGTGACCGAGCTTGGTTGCCATTTTCATACTTCTTATGGTCTGTCACTTGACAGCGGTTGAAAAGCTTTACTACAATAATCCGGTTGCCAAACGCACGCCATTAGTATTGGACGTTTAACGTATGTGTCGGATTCGGCAGTACCAAACCCAAGCAGATATTTGTCTGGTTTGTATTCCCATACGAGAATGCTTAACTGAAATTAATTTTATGAAGTCGTTCACAGTTTCCGGGTTTGCATTTCTTTCTAGCGCTTGTTTATTTGATAATGTGTTAAACACGCTTTTTATTAGGTATGGCCGCCGACCGTCTTTGTGAATGGATTTCTAGTTTACGGTTTCGGTCTCTTGCGCCTTTTCCAAGTACATATCAGATTCGTTCTTTCTAAGGCTGTTTAATCGTTTTTTGAATGTAGCGTTTGCTTTCTGTTTGGCTGGCTGGAATTGATTATAGAAGTTAACAATCAAAATCACTGCAAAACTAAGTAAACCGTTATGAGTTAATGCACAGCATTATTTCTTGACCCGTTGTAAAATTTCCAAGGCAATCCCTGATTGCTGACTTCAGTAGAGACCAAAATGCGGTCTGTAATGCATTATAAATTTAGTATTAGAATCGGTGATGTAGGGACGTTGCATACAATGGCGTCTCTCAGGGCTTAGTTATTGGTTCTATGATGTTTCTTATTTATGAGTAGTGTTCTACTTAGAGCCATCGCAATGAGGCTGGGCAGTCATGCTGCGGCCTAAACCGACGCCCCTTGAATGCTTGGATCACTGCACGTTCTCTGGAGCTGTTCGAACGCCGCAAACTATCCCCGCGGAATCAGATTGCAGCGAGCAACGCCGTTCTGCCAACCGGCTGTTCAAGCAAAACCTACGCAAAGATGGCGAGACATGGTAGTCTGGGCGTGCTTTAGAGATGGAGACCGCTGCCCTCTCTGGCAATACTCGCAGGTTTTTCCAACTGATTCGATCCACTGGCCTCAGGAAGCCTAGTGTCATTGAGGTCATTTGTGATGTGGATGAGTCTCCGATCACCAACCAACAGAGGCGTATGGACAGCTAGGCCGAGCATTTTCACTCGCAGTTCAACTGGCCTCCACCATCCATCAGTACATGCAGTACATGTTGTTGTCCACCCTGGCTCGTCCCTCTGAATCCAACCAGCAAAGTGGAAGCTTGCCTCGAGATTCAGCGCTTGAAGCGCTTCAAGGCTGCCGGCATAGACGGACTTCCTTCGGTACTATTAAAGCACGGCGGTGTGGCGATCATTAACCAGTTGACCGTGCTGTTCGCAAAAAGTTGGCTGAAGAGAAAGTGCCTTCCTCTTGGAGCGAATCAGTTATTGTTCCTATTTTCCAGAAAGGCGCTCGCACTTCATGTGCAACTCATCGTGGGATTAGTCTTATTTCGGTTGCCTAAGTTATTGTCATCCATTCTGCTTCGCAGGCCATCCCCACTACGTGAATCATACTACCGTGAAGAACAAGCTGGTTTCCGTCCTCGCCGCGGATGAGTGGATCAACTTTTCACGCTCCGCCAGCTCCTCGAACATCGCCACATTTATCACAGGCTCACTATCATTGCATTCCTAGACATACATGTCGCTTTTGACTCTGTTGATTGACCTGCTTCCTGGCGTTGGTTACTAAAGTACGGGGTGCCAGAGAAATATACCGCCATCTTACGAGCACTTTACCTTCATACATCCGGCAGAGTGAGGGTCTATGGTAAGCTTTCCTCGCAATCACTGTCAATAGCGGTGTGTGACATGACTGCTCTATGTCCCCATTCCTCTTCAACTTCGCAATGAAAGACGTTCTGTCGAATGCTTTAGAAGGTTTCCAACATTTTAGCTTAGAACTTCTACCGGGTGTGCGCGCGACCGACATAGATTATGCGGATGATATCGCCTTACTTGGTGACAATCCTCAGAGTATGCAACTCATTCTGGATCGTTTGGCGGTTGAAGCATCTAAGAATGACATGAGGTTCGCCCCATCGAAGTGTAAAGTACTGCTCAAGGATTGGTTTTCACCTGCTACCGTAGTCACGCTCGAAGGTGCACAACTTGAACAGGCAGATAGTTTCGGCTACCATGTGGCTGTGATTCTGCTGACGGCACTATCAACCAAAAAGTTTCTCTTCGTATCGCTAAAGCTCGATCAGCATTTGTCAATCTGAAGCACTTGTGGCGTCGTTGCGACGTCTCATTCTCACTAAAGGGCCGCGTTTACAGCGCATCAGTTAGCTCAGTATTGTTATGTGGGTGCGCGTCCTGGCCGCTTCGCGTGGAAGCCTTGCGTCGTCTTTCTGCCTTTGATAACGGTTGAGTAAGGAGGATCGCTAGTGTTTGGTGGCAACCCCGATTTAATAGTAATGATGTTCGACGTCGCATCTTATGGAATGCCAGTATTTTTTTCAACACATTGGTTTTGTTGCGCCAGTTATGATGGCTCGGTCACGTCCTATACACGGCACCTGAGCGTCTACCGCGTCGCAGTCTATTCGCTCGTCAAGGACCTGGCTAGAGGCGACCGCGTGGTGGTCAGCCTTCCACATGGCCGCAGCACATTAAATCGCTGATATCGTGTCTAGCCGCTGTTGGATCCGTACGTCTTCCAGGATGGGGACCTAAAGATGAGGAGTGTCAATGGCTTAGCACACTTGAAGATATGGCCCGCAACCGGAATCAGTGGAAGGAATTGTGTACCTTATTGTATTAATTCACATGTTTAATACTACAAACAATAAAATGACAAAAAAGGGCAAAAGCAGCGTATGACAACAAGCTAAAAATATTTTGTTCCACTTTTTGTCAAAATGTTCCATCCTTCCTGCGGCATATTAGTTTAAGTGTGTTGCTCACCTTCAACTAGCGTGCCACGTTGAGTATGACGCGATGGATCTTGCTTATGTGCTGATCTCCATGGTTTTATGCCGCCTCTGTGTCTGTTGAGATTACATTGCATTAAATTACATTGTACCTTTAGAGGTTGTTTGTAAACTGCCAATACGGATATGTCGTTTATTTTTCTGCTCTAACGCACAAGCGACATACCACATGGCGCCACGGTTGGACACAACACGTGGCTTCATCGCGCGGATCCTCACATCTTTCCCTAGCTAGCTGCGTCTTTCGGCGTCGTATATTTAGGTAATACACAGGGAACAGCGTGTACCACAATGCACGTTCGTCTCGTCACTTCCGTGCCGTCTACTCCATTACTGGGAACGGCATTCGCGAATAGTATATTAACGTGAGGCGGTCACCCACGCTGCATTGGGGACCCCCTCAAGAATCATCGCTGCAACCTACCTGTTGACCCTGTACCTTTGTACTTTTTGCGTGGGACTTTAAAGATTTGGCTATGCTGCCCATCTATACCCTCATTCCCAAGCTGA